ATAGCATATATAAATGACACACGTATGGAAAACTGCTGACACCTGCAGCACCTCTGCAGATACTCCCTGCAGTTCTCTCTGTATGTCCCTTCTCCTACCTTTGCTTTATGCCTGGTCTACCTTCAGAAATTAAAATATTAAAGTTTGTATTAAAATATTGCCTGAACTGTACAGCTTCACCCCAATGAGGAGAAAATGTTTCAGGGCAGAGAAAGGAAATATAGAGAGAGCAGACCAGCAAGGATGCAATTCTGCTGCAGGCAAAGGAAACCAGAGCCTTCCTCTCTTCATACCTGCACTCATGTTCACACAAGCTAAACCCTAAGACTAAGCTGGAAGGGAAAAAAATAAGAATGTTATTATGATCAAACGATGACCAAGCTGTACATGCATTGACACTCGAGCAAGAGAAAACCCAAAAAGGAGCAAGACACTGTAGCAACTCCAGTTTAGGCTTGCTCAAAGCCCCAGGCAGCTGCAGCCCTGAGCCACCCGGTCGGGAGGCTAGCAAAGCCCTGGGAAGGTGTGTGCATGTCCCTCTGGGAGAGCGAGGTCGGGACACGAGAAGCCTGAAGGGCGCTGCCCTTCCCTCGCTTTGCGGCAGGCCCAGGGCAGGGCCCGCACGGCCGGGAAGGCTCCGCACGGCCGGGAAGGCCCCGCACGGCCGGGAAGGCTCCGCACGGCCGGGAAGGCCCCGCCCGCCCGCCACGCGGCCCTCCCGCACCCGCGGGGCTCTGCCGGAACGGCGGCCACGAGAGCACCGCCGGGAACAAAAAGCGCACGAGAGCATAACCAAATCCCGTCCGGAACAGGGGAGGAAACGAGGGCCAGAGATGCCGCTTGGCAGGCACCGAGTAACTCTCCTTCTGCCCGCCGAGAACCTTGCCCCTGCCCCGGGGCCTCTGCTCCCACCCCCGGCCCTGCTCGCCCCGCGAGGGGCCGCACGGGATGCGGGAGTCCTCACTCCCTCCCTCACCCACGCCCATGTTTCCCCGTAATTCCCACCGCAGGCCCGACGCCCTCCCCTTCGCCCTCCCTTGTGCTCCGCCGCAGGCCGGCGGCCGCGACACTCCGTGCGAGAGGCAGCGCGGCCCGAGCGCAGCCCCGCGGCTCACCTTGAAAATGGCGTAGCCGGCGGCGGTCTCGAACAGCACCAGCATGGCTGCGGAGTGCGGCCGCCACCGACCCGCTCAAGCACGCGCGCGCCGCGCGGCGGAACCGGAACGGGAAGCGGCGGCGGCAGCGGAAGCGAGAGCGCGCGGGGAGCGGAAGCGGCGGGTTGCCTTCCGCCCGCCCGCCAGCCACGTGGCGGGGTCCCCCCGCCGCGGGTTCGAGTCTCGTTACGCACAAACACGCGGGAGCTCGGAAGCCGCCGGTGTGCCATTCTGGCACCTCTCCCGAGCTGCCCTCGCTTCCCCGGGTGCCGCAGTTGGCGGCAGGGTCGGCCACCGTTGATAGGAAGCGGGTGTGTTCCCCGGGATGCGAGGGGCCGTGCTGGAGACTTTGTTTCCCGAACAGACCCCGAAGCAGGGGTGAACGGGTGGTCCTCTCGGCGACCCCGAACCGGACCGGCCGCGGTGTCGGGGTTCAGCAGCGCTCCCGGCCCTCTGCACATGGCGGGTTGCGTTCTCTGCCCGCTCCGCTCTCGCTCCCGTGGCCTGACCTGCAGTTCATCGCACCGAAAGCGTTTCCTTTGCGTAAAGAATTGTTGACACAGTGCGATTGCGTGTATTTAAAAGCTTGGCTTCGCCAGCAGACAAGCACCAAATTCTGCTCATATAAAACACGCGTTTCGAACGCTGCGCGTTTCCCCGCGCCGCTCGGCTCTCCCCGGGGCACGGGCAGCTCCGTGTGCGGGAAGGCACGGCCCGGGGCGCTGGGGCCGCCACTTGTGCCTCCTCCTACTTTGGTGCCACCTCGTGCTTTGTCCTTGGCACAGCCCGGGCGTGCACAGCGCCGTGCCTGGCTGACCTACTTCTGTGCCGCGGCCCTGCTGAGCAACCGAGCAGCTGCGTGCCGGTGGGAGGGGGGCGGAAAGCGCCTCTCCTTGCCCTTAGAAATCCCCGCTTGTTTCATACGCAGGGTTAGCTGTACTGAAAACAGGCAGAGATTTTCCTGCCTGCAGGAAGAGAGGCTCCAAGGAACGCTTGGCTTTTGATTTATATCAGACATTCGTTGCTGCATTTTATGCAACCATCTGTATGAGTCAGCATGCCTTTGTTGCCAGGAGTACGCTGGAAAGTCCATAGTGAGAGAAATCTGTGGACTTGAGTATTTCTGAAGATTTTTTTTATTCAAAGGAAAGACTTGGTACTTTACATTACATAACCAATTTTCTTAAAATCCCACAACCAGTAATATTGCCAAAGAAATTAGGTTCATGGAGGTACAGAATTTCCAGGTTCTACCTAGTTTTAAAGTACTGTTTCTGGCCCTGCTGGCAGAGTACTATTATTATGTAAGAGCTACTGTTAACTTAGCTGGTTGACCTAGAATACTACATTCATCCTGTTGGCTAGCACTAACTGCTATCAGGCAAGCAAATTGGCATTATGAGATTACAAATTGTTTATAGCTTAAAGTCTGCTTTTTAAAGAAATCCGTTTCTGATGGACTGAAGAAGCTTTGCACAGACTGTGTGTGTGAGCTTTGAGAAAACCTCTTGCAGCTATTGGTTCCTATACAGTAGCTTTGGAGAAATCAGCAGAGGTGAACTTTATTGGCATCAGGTGACTGAGGTTAAGTGCAGATAGGAAAATAAGAGACATTATAAAACACCTGAGAATTCAGTGAGGTTGTTAGGGCAAGTACTACGGGCAGTGTGTACAAATGCAAGGCTGGCTTTGGGTTTTGTGAGAAGAAACTCGTGTAAGTATATTTAGTATGTTAAAAACAGTTTTTGTTACTTTCTCTTTAAGTGAATTCTATGTTGAATTTGAGCCATTGAAAAAGAAAAGTGGGAGCTTTACTGCTGTACATCCACAGTTTTCACAGTATTAGTGGAGATTAACTTTGAAGATCCTGTATAAAACTAGCTTGTGTCTTGGAGAGCTGATGCATCCACAAGTGATGGAATAAGAAGGGAGTCACGAAAGGTGGTGCTACTGTTAGTGTGTATGCTGATGAGCATATTCTAACCCTGTATCTTTATGGCTATGTATGTGGATAGGTAACTGCACTCTGACTCATATGAGTGTTAGCTTTTATTATGGGATTACTTGAAAAAATTTGGTTTGTGCCAGAGTCTGAGACTTTGGCCTTAGCACAGTAAGGCTCTGTTTTTAAAACCCCATTTAAAATGTATAAAAAGCAGTAATGTTCAGGATAGAATATTTGTCATTTTCCATTTTGTTAGTATTGTGTGTTGTTGTGGAGCCCTTGCATGGCTTATTTTGGTGCTTTGTGTGTGTTATTAAGCTCATAATGAGCTCTTACTGTGAGCTTGGCATAGCACGGACGTATTTGGCTTTTCTAACTGCTTGGCCTTGCCTAAGAAAGATCATCTTCATTCTGTAGCTCTGTATAGCATTTGTTTTGGTTCTCTTTATTTATTTTTCCCTCCCTTGTTAATTCTGACTTGTTTTAACAGTTGTGATTAAAACTAATTCCCATGAGTCTAGATACTGATTGTTCCACTGGCTGGCAAAAGTGCACATCTTGGTGTAGCTCTGTTTGTAGCTTGGCATTCACTGACAAGCAGAAATGCAGGCACAGAGATCAGCTGCTTTGGTGTTTGGTGTTATTACAGGGGAATATGGCACACAGAGCATTGACCTGTTTGTGTTAATGAATGCCTCTTGCTCAGAGCTAATGAATGTACTCTGCACTTTCCCAAAGGTAGCTGGTAAAGTTGAAACTCTGTTTAGTAGCATGAGAATAATAATCTCCTTATTTCAGTTGAGCTAATTTCTGTTGATTCATTAATTTTACATTCATGTTATTTCATGGTTCTCATGTGTGGAGTTTTTTTCTACTTGCTGGTCACTTAGATCTAAGCATATGCCTATGCCAGCAGTGATGCCATGCAGGAGTTGCCTGAGCAGTTGTAGAGGGGATATTAGGACTCCATACTATAGTCCAAACAGCTTGCAGCCCAAATGTAATATTTTACGTAGACGTTATTTCTTGTGCAGACCTCTGAATAGCCATGCTGTGCCAATGTAAAGCAGGGCACCTGTTCTAATGATACATCTTTGCAAATTTATTCAAATGCAACCCTGGCTGCAGATTTGCTTAATACATGCAGATCCCATTGCTTGCATGGTTGCAATGACTTAAAAAAAATACACTGTATCTAAACAGAAAAGTGAGTTTTGCTATGGCATATTATCCTAGTAACAACCTCAGCAAGATATTAGAGGTAGGCAGTATGCAAGTGATTTTTGCTCCAAGATCTGCTGTTGTGGGAAGGGTTATGTGTCAGGATTGGAAGGGATCTCTGGAGAGCATCGAGTCCAAGACCTTCTACGCAGGGTCACCTGCAGCAGGTGACACGGGAACATGACCAGGTGGGGTTTGAATATCTCCAGAGAGGGAGAATCCATGATTTCCCTGGGCAGCCTGTTCCAGTGCTCTGCCACCCTCAAACTAAGTAAGCTCTTTCTCAAGGTGTGCTGGAACTCATTATCTTTTAGTTTATGGCCACTACTCTTCGTTCTGTCACTGAGCACCACTGAGAAGTGCCTGGGACCATCCTCTTGGCACCCGCCTTTGAGGTATTTCTATGCATTCGTGAGATCCCCTCACAATCTCCTCCAGACTGAACATGCCCAGCTTCCGCAGTCTCTCCTCATGAAGAGAGATGCTCCAGGCCCGTCACCGTAGCTGTGGCATCCGTTGCTCCGGTCGCCAGGGCTGCCGTTAACGTTCGTCGCTTCTTTCAAGGGCGACTCTCACCTCCCCACGGCGGCCTCGGTGGGAGCCGGTGCCGCGGCGGCTCCACGCGAGGGCCGGGAGGGGCCGCAGGCGGGGCCCGGGAGGGAAATTAGCTCAGGCGCACCGGAAATCCCGCCCGTGCCGCGGCCCTGTGTTTGCGCTGCGAGCAGAGAAAGGAGCGGAGCGCTTGCAGCGGCCCAGCCGAGCCTGCCGCACGACACGGGGCCGAATCATGTCTGACCAGGTACGGGCAGCTGTCCCGGCCGCGGGGGGACGGCGCGGCGGGCGCGGCGGCCCCGGGGGCTCGGGAGGAGCTGCCGCCCCCCCGCCCGCACTCTCCGCCGCCGCGGGGCAGCCCGGCCCGGGGCGAGCAGAGTCGCGGTCGCCCAGAGGGCGCCGGGGGGAACGTTCTCCTAGGGAAGTGTGTGTGTGTGTGTATGGATGGATGCCGATCTCCGACCTCGGCCGGATTCGGGCCCCCTCTCCGCGTGCATTTTAATCCTTTTCTCTTCTTCCTTCGGGGTGTTTCGTGAGCAGCGCGGTCGGGCTCCAGGCGGGGATACACGGGGGCCGGGGCGGTGTCCGGACGGAGCGGGATCGCCGCCGGGACAGCCCCGGCCCTGGAAACCCGGGAATGCGGCGAGGGATGAGCTGTGTTGCACAACTGTTGTTTCCTTTCGTTTTCCGTTTCCCGGGTGTGTGGTAGGATGGTTTTCTCCCGGAGCGGGCTTTGTGAGGGTTAGGCTAGGCTTGCCAGGTCCTCTGTTCGCTCGAGGAATGCGAAAGCCTGTTTTTCTCCCCCTCCTTTCTCAGCTGAGCGTTGCTTGCTTGTATTAAACACCCCGTCCTTTATGAAGGCTCAGTCCTGCCTTCGCTCCAAATAATATTCTCGTTATGCCCACATAATTTCTGTTTTCTGAGCCGGGGAGTTGAATAGTTGCTTGTACCGCAAGTTCCTGGGTTGCTCGGCCTGGCATGTATACAGTGCTTTGCCTACAACTATTGCTTTAGGCTATATGTCCTGCTAGTGGAAAGTTAAAACGGCGTTCCGGTTTTAATTTGTGTTCCGTTTTGCTTTATTTTTTATATTGTCGTTATAGGGCACTGTTTTCTATCTTTGTTTTTTCCCAAAGTGTAGCTATCGTGATAATGTCAGTATCTACATATGTTTCTTGTAGTGCTGTGAAGTCAAGAATAGTACTGGTGCCAGCCAGGAAATGAAAAGTCCCCAGAGACAAGGCTGAGCTTAGTGCATACCGTGTCTGCTTTGGGGAGTAGCCTTGGTGCAGTAGGAGCCGTGAAAAGAAGCCAGCGCTGTGTGCGCTGGTGGTCTTCCTCCCCGCCCCCGACTTCCCAGCACAATGCAGCTGACAATGGTGCTGCTGCCTCTCTGTGCCTGTGCCTGGGAGAGGGGCAGCTGGGAGCACAGCGATTGCTGCCTCCTAGGGAGGACATGTTGCCCCTGTAGCAAAATACGTGAAAGTGACTGCGTTTTAAAAAAAAGCCAAACAAACTCACCAACAATTTGTGAACTAGATTTTATAGACAGATGTTCACGTGACCTGCTCTCTAGTTGTCTGCATATGGGAACCAAGGTATGTTTTAGCAAATAGCAGCTTTCGTTAGTTAGGTAAATCCTTCCCCAGGCAAGTTCTGCTAAAATACATGTGTATTTTGTCTTTGAGACTGCTTGAAGTATGTAAAATTCCACGTATGTGATGACCTGTTGTGGCTATGTATCTTAAAGGTCTGTGGATAAGGAGCCTGCTGTTTATTTTTAATAGATAAGCAAAACACTGTTAGACGTTGTGTCATTCATTTCTGGGGCACTGTGCAACAAGAGCTAAACAGATGCTTAAGTAGAAGAATAACGTAAGGTTATGCAGCACTGTAAATCTCCTTCCTCTGTTTATCAATGTTACAAGAATAACTTGATTACCTAAAATTGAGAATTGCTTAGAGTATTGTTCTTTTTGGCCCTAGAATTAAGTTAAGAGGGGGGTAATTTATCACCCGTAAAAGAAGGGTTACTTTATTTTCAGTGGGAAATTGACTTTTATGATAAATAAAAATACTTGAAAGAAGGGCAGACTTAAAAAAACCCTCATGGTTGCTTAGTGGGATCTAAGCAAAAATGAAACAAAACACAAATTGTTTCCCCCTCCCTTCAAGTGTGTTAGGCTGTTTTTACATTATTTGAATCTAAATGTTATTTGTTAATGTAATCTGTTAATAAAGAATGCTGTAGTTTGTGTGTATGTTTTTCACTCCTTTAAAAAATGTAAGCGTTTATTTGCTTTGTTATGAAGTGTGTTGTACATCTATTCCTCTAGTAATTTTGGTTTTGACACTTTTTCTTAAAAATGCTGAGTATAGTTTGTTTTTTTAAGGTTAGACATTGAAGTTTTATCCCTTCTGAAAATTGGAGGAGGAAACTTGCAATATGTTGCAAGTTTGTTTTGTGTATGTTTTGTTTTTAATTGCAATAGCAATACCAGTGTGTTTCATCCAAGAAACTTTGTGTGCTTTTTAGGGTCCTTATATAAGTGTGAGATAGTGCTCGGAGCCTTATATTGTGCTCTTTAGGAAAACTGCAATGAAGCCTTTCAAACCTTAGGCATCTAACGGAAAGTTAGAAATTGGAGTGTTGTGGTATTTCTGTTCTTTTGTATGGTGGTGTTTTTTATGTCCTGTTTCATGAGGTACCCTAAAGCACCCATTCTTTTCACAGGGCAAGAAGTCTGGAGGCTTCCTTGCTCATTGCTGATCCAGGATTTTATTAATGGATGCTAGTAGTTGTAACAACTTTGCAATCTCCTTCGTTTCTTTATTCCTAAATCATTTTGTGTTGCCTTAACCATCTGGCATTGAATGGCAGTATAGTTCACTGACAAAATGCAGAGAGCATTTTCAGACTTGCTGGGTCTTGTATCCTGGTGTAAAGTATTTTGCTCCTAATTTAAACTTTGATTATTGGCACTTCTATTACTTGATTTTATATTATTTCTCTTCTCCTGAAACTACAGCTTTCTATCCTCTTTATTTTGTGGGTGAGAGGTTGTGGGGCTTTAAACAAGCATCTTTATGGTTTGAAGACTCCAATTCCCTCTGCTTATTCTACTGTTGGGCACTTTCCCTATTTGTTTTTAATACTAGAGCCCTCTTTCCTTGAGGGCAGGAGTCAAATATGAATCATAGTTTGATCACTCATATTGGCCAGAGGCACTGTCATAGTAGCAGTGATCATTAGTAATACCTTGTACAGGATGATTTGGTTTGGAAGCCTGAGTAGGTAGATTTGTTACAATGTACAGAACTATATAACTACTACTAATACCTCTACTGGTGGGATAAGATGCTGTCATGCACCTTGTAAAGTAAATTTAGACAGTGACTGGCCTGAAATGTCATGTAAAGGGACAGTGTTCTTAAAAATTCTTTCAGTAATAGTGAAATAGCAGCTAGTTTTGAAGCTACAGAGCAGATCAGTAGAGATCTGAATCTTGCTCTGATTCCTAGAAATTAGTAATGTTGCATAAAGACATTAAAACAGCTGTTTGTGCAAGTTATCAGAACAAGTTGCAGCTTCTTGTTTTTCTTTCTGGTCAGGAGTGAATACCGGTGTGTTTCTATTCCTGCAACTAGTCCCAGAAGTTTAGAGTCCAAATGTGTTAAAGGAAACTTTGGTGGGGAACACAGGTGATCTGACTGTGTTACCTGTGATGAACTCCTTTCATGCTTCTAAAGTGACTTGCTTGAAGTCCTGTGTATGTCAGGTTTCATAAAAGCCTGGGTTGAGGTTTTGGATTTGAGCTTGAAGGGTGATGAATCAGTCCCTGCAGTTTAGGTTGTGCCTGGATGGGTATTAAAAAAATAAAAGATATTCAAACCAGGTGGAGTCTCTGGCTCATACTTCTTTTCATTGTAGAAACTGAATTGATCTGGGTTGAGACAATGAGTCAAACTGATAGTAAGAACACTTCCTCTCTTTCTTTACTCCAGATTGAGACTGGTACAGATGGGAAGGGTGTTTGCTGACTTGCCTTGTGACCTTCCCTGATCTTTTAATGTTCAAAGAGGTTGTGTGTGTTTAACTTCTTTAGGGAGCAGGGGGAAAAAACTTTACAATGTTTTAATCTGGAGATAGAGACCTATCTGGATGGACTTAATAGGGAAGGTTAGTATTTTGTCTGTTTTTGGCACTCGATCCTAAATTTCAAGTCCAACCATACAGGGGATATTTCTGTACATTTAGCAAAAAGTCCCTTTTGGGTGGGAGCCTATGGTAGGCACCCATACATATTTTGTTTATTTTTGTCTACAGTGTTAAGAAGTAAAATATAAAAGGATGGTTTCAAACATGATCAGCAGGTACCTGTGGTTATGGCTACTTGGGAACAGTTCTTCAGTGAGCACCATCTAGACCGGATCTCTGTGTAAAATCTCTTTGTCCTACAGTGGAACGTAGCTAGAGGCCTGATGCAGGATCTGTAGTGACAGGCAAGGAATGGGGTTAATCGTACCTGATTTCTCACTTGTTTCATCTATCAACTGGTAACATGAAAACTCTGATGTCCTTAATTAATGTCTAGGAGTGTATAACACTTAAACCCTTTTGATGAGCTTTAGCACTCAAGCTGTTGAATCAAAACTTGTCTGTACAGTTAATTCTTACCCTGGGAAGATATCAAAACACTATAGTGCTTGGAACTGCACCTTTTTAAACTTTGAAGTATGGTGGTCTTAAAACAAATGTGTTAGAAGAAAACTCTTTTATTGTCAGACAAAAGAAGCTAGCTGACCAGCCTTTTGAAAATAAGGGCTACCTTGGATGCAGTGGTTTGAAAAATGTTTGCATAGTTGACTCTCTTTAAGTCAGTGAGATGTCACAAATATTTTCTGTTTACTCTCCTCACAGTGTTCCTTTTTTGTGTCAAATATCTGATCCTCTTAGTGAGCTTCTTGTGGGTTTTTTTGCTGTTTGTTTGTTGTCTACGAGTTAGAGGTATAAAATAATACTTCTTATTTTTTTGTATGTCATCTATTTCCAAATGGTTCTTCTCTCGTTTCTTACGTTCTTTATGGTGTTCCTTTTCTCTCATTAATTAACCTTCTCACAGATAGACAGACAACCTTTCATAATACTGTGTTGCTGTTATTTTTGTGCACACACACACAGAGAAAGAAGACACCTTGAGTAGTCTGATTTCATGCAATAAAGGGGTGACAGCTGCTATACTGTCCAGTGAAAATAATGACGTGTTTAACTGATCAGGCTTTATTTGTTTTTCTTACAGGAAGCAAAACCTTCAGCTGAGGACTTAGGAGATAAGAAAGAAGGGGAGTACATTAAACTCAAAGTCATTGGGCAGGTGAGTTTTTTACATAATTGCTTGTTGACATTTGATGGAGGTGTGACTTCTTGTATGGTAGAAATGACCGAATATAAGTTGGTACTTTCAGTTCTTTAGTGCAGATCCTTCCTTGCCATAAACTACTTCCAGTTGCCAGAAATGTGTATTAGTATACTCTGGTATGCTTTTTTTGATGCATTGGGGGATGAATTTATCCAAGGGTATGAATGAAATAAAGCAGCAAACTTGATAAATTCAGGTCCTCAAAGTTTGTGCAGTACCCTAGGCATGAGGTCAGCTTTATTTTTCAGGGATAGGAAAAGGATTGTTGGCTGCCCTGTTAGTAGATGTAGCAACCAGATGAATGGTGGATTAGAAGTCTGTACTCCGGCTGTGTTGGAATGTGAATGTTGGAATCTTCTGTGCAAAGAACCTCTAGCTCAGATGACAGCTGTTGGAGTTGTATTGTTTGCTGCAGTTGGGTGGAGATAGATGACTTTCAAGTAGGACTAACAGAAACTACCTTACCTCTTGCTGGCCTAATCAGCAGTTACGAGAACACATTGAAAAGCTGGAAGTGGCCCACATGCCTTTTGCACAGAACCTCTTGCAATCTGTCTTATCTGTAGCCATTTTGACAGTTGCAGCTACTTGCATCTTATGGCTAGTGGGAAGGACTACAGAATAATAAGACCTGAGATTTCTCCTTAGGTTAGATTTGTGTTGCCAAGTCTGCCTGTATCCTAACTTCTAGATAATTACATTTAATTGAACGAGGTTTCGTATATATTTTGAAGTGCAAGCTTTAACTTGTCTCTTTAGAATCTTAGAACAGAAATTCCTGCATATGTATGTTTTTATTTCCTAAGTATATCATCTGGGTAAAGATGGCAGCACAGACTGAACCATGTATGGGTTTTAGTAATTTTAAATCCAAAACCTCCATGTTGAGCCTAAGGCTATATGATGCCATCTGCTTTTTTTAAAAGAGCTTCCTGTGGAAGTACATAGTGAATTTAGTGACTGATAAATCATCCTGAAGGTTCACGTTATGATGCACCAAGGTATGTATGGTGATAGTTAAATCACATTCCATGTTTCATGTAAGTTTTAGATAAGTTTTTTCTTAATTAAATGTTTAAAATTAAAATAGATAAAGTTAGCGGTTACTACAAGGAGAGTAATTTTTTTTTCTTTTCTGTCCTTAGGACAGCAGTGAAATTCACTTCAAGGTGAAAATGACAACACACCTCAAGAAACTCAAAGAATCATACTGTCAAAGACAGGTTTGTGAAATAATGAGATTCTTTAAAAAGAAAATAAAAACCCAAACCACTTTTCTTACTGTGCTTTCAAATAAAGACTTTTGAGGTATCTGATGGTAATGGTACAAACATAATGTATCTCCTCATTTCTTTAGACAAGTAAAAGTATTCCTATGTAAGACAATTGTGAAGTTATACCCTAAGTTAAAGACATCTGCAATATTAATTTTATGTATAGGTAAATAGTAACAATTGTTACAGAACAAAAATGTCTTCACTTCCTGATTCTGTGGCAGATATTGTGGATTTGCAGCTGCTATTTCCAGAAGCCCTGGCCTAGTTTGCCCTCAGCTTTGGGGATAGATGCCTTGTATGGCCTTTTCTTGGTTAAGTGTGTTGGAGTTCACTTCAGGAGATATAATCATAAGTAATAATACTTTGGGGGCTTTTTCCTAATACTTTGAGTCAAGTTGAACTTGTCATTGAAGTGTTCTTTCACAAAATGTGGGGGTTTTTTGCTGTCTTTCTGGAGAAGGAGGAAAGAAAAGATCAAACACCAGATATATTTGTAGCCAAATCCAAATGGTTAGAGTTATGATTAATTTTAAAAACCTGAAAATTTAAAAAAATCATCTTGGAAATAATTAATGCAGCATACTTACTGACTGATGAAGATATATGTGTGGAATTCTTTCTTAAAGAAAGAAATAATTGTCTGAATGAGCACATCTGTATCTCCTAAGCTGAATTCTGGAGGGTCTGTGATTTCCTTTGCAGCAGTCAATGCAGTTTTTGGTGTCAAGTAGCCTTTCTCTGGTAAAAGGACGGCAAACATTTCTTCCACATTGGCCAGAGGGATTGTTGAAACAGTATGAAGATCCTGTCCTTACCTGAAAAAATTTTCTGCCTAGTTATTTGCAAGCAGTATTTGAGAGCTAAGTGATAAAATTGTCATATTCCACGTGAGTTTGTTTTGCTCATAACTTGCAAGAGGAGGAAAAGATGAGGTGTTTGCCTTATCTATTGATGTGAAGTATGACATTCTGCCAGAACATGGGCACATTGTGCAACAGACATACTTTAACTTAACTCTGTTTACCTTTGGGATGTTTGTTTCACCTTGTTTGAATGCTGTTCATTTTTCTTCCCCTCAGTTCTGCTCTTTCTTTTTCCCAGTACTGAGCATTTGCAGAATTGATAATGGTAAAGGTTGTGATTCCTTCCTGTAGCCATAGAAGATTGGGAAAGCAAGGGTAGGAGTTAATGAAGTAAACATCACGTTCCTCCTGTTGTCTTAGGATCCTTAAATAAGGGTGATATGCTGTTCAGAAAAATACTTGTGTAAATATATCTTGGGAGAGAGGGTATAGTCAGTACTTAATTCATAAATACAGACAAGTTAAAAAAGCTAAGGAAAATTCCAAGTTGAGCTACAACTCCAGTGAGACTCTGGAACAAACATGCATGTTGGCACTTTTTGAGTCGCTTCTTGGTAATCTACTTGAATGTAACAGAATATCTGAGCTCCCTGTGTAACAGGAACTAACACTCTTTTATACTTTCATCTGTTGTTTTTATTTAAAATGTTTTTTCATGTAAACCCATACAGTATTCAGTAAGTTGGGTTTTTTTCTTATACATATGTTTCTTTTCTTAGGGTGTTCCAATGAATTCACTCAGGTTTCTCTTCGAGGGTCAGAGAATTACTGATAATCATACCCCCAAGGAGGTGAGTTTCTTCTTAGAAATATAGTTTGACTGTATTTCTTCAACTAGAATCTTTTAGTAAGGTAGATGGGCAGCTTGGAAAGAGCCTGCTTGGACCTCCATGTGTAATGCCTCAGAAAGGAGGGTGTAGTCACTGCTTGCTAGAGGGGGGGAAAACATGAAGGGAAGCTTCCCATTGTTGAGCTTAAGCTTCAGTGTGACTTTCAAATAAATATGCATTTAGTTCACACTTAGTAGATCAAAGTGTAAATAAACAGAAATCAGTTACTTCTGTCCAGTGACTTCCACCAATTATTTTGAAAAAGCAGGAAGAAACTCATAATAATGACCTTCTGGAAATATCAGACAAACTTGTTGACTGTGAAATTGAACAAGTTGATCTCCTGAGAGAATAGTTGTAAACAGGCTTTGAGTTGCAAGGTGTAGGTGTTAAGCTGCACTGTGAGCTAGTGGTGCACTATAGTAGATGTACTTCGTATGGCACTACAGCTGATGCATTCACTAGGATGTTGGTGATGTCCTTGTTCCCCCTAAACATGGGGTTTAGAGAAGGATAAAGCCAGCAACTTCCAGGCTGATGTGAACTGCTCCACAAGTGGGTTGACTCAGATACCTAAGTCTGAAGAAAAATGGCTAAAAATTGTGAATATTGTCTAGTGAGATGGAGACTGAAACTTTCTTCGCCCTTTTGATGAATTGTGATGGGACAGGAACAAAGCATTGTATAATTTGTCTAGGACCTACTCTGATTTCATCACACCAGATCTACACAATTATTAATAAATTATTAATAGCAATTACTTGCTGTTTTTTCCTCTGTTCTCACAGCTCGGGATGGAGGAGGAAGATGTGATTGAAGTTTATCAGGAACAGACGGGGGGTCACTCAACAGTTTAGATCCTTCTGAGTTTCTTCCCCCTTAATCCTTTTTTATTTTTAAATAATAGTTCTTTTGTAATGTGGTGTTCAACACTGAAACTGGCACCCCATCTCTGGGAGTTTACTTTCGAGCGTCTGGTATTTTGAATTCTCGTGTTCATTATACACTATTGTTTCTGTTTTCATTGTGCTGAACTTCTGTGATCCAGCTGCAACCTTGCTCCCCTCTTCCCTTCTGCCCCCCCTTTAGGAATACATGTACTCACATGCATTTGTATGTTCGCTGGGTTCGTGCATTTCAGGCACGAAGGCTGTAAGATCTGCCAGGTGGGCGAGTGTTCTTAATGACTTCCATATCTGCCCTGAAGTTTTGATGTGTGACTGTCTCACTCCTGGACTATAACTTTCAGTGCGAGATGAAGTTTTTCGGAGAACTAAACTGTGGAGAAGTTGTGTATCCATAACTTGGAGCTATTTTGCTTAAATTATGCTGATGGCCCAATGAAGAAGATTGCCGAGTTGCCAATGGAAAAGCTAGAACTGTTGTCATCTGTTCCTTGCTCCAGAGATGGCTTTGCTGAAGACGTGAAATTGAAAACCCTAATGATTTTTAAATATTGCCAGAAGAGCCCAGAAGCATTTTAACCTCACATAGCAATTAGTACGCGCAGGTATCCATGCAAGAATGTTCACAGCAGCCAACTGGTGTTATTTTGACACGCTTGTTTGTACCTATTGGCCTGGGACGTGGGTTTTGAATGGACATTGTCTGTACCAGCTTCATTTAAAATAAACAAGAAAACCAATTTTATAAACAACTTGCATTTTCTTTTCAAATGTTTGGAAGTGAGCAAAACCATTAGAAGTTATAATTAAGGGTATGCTTTTCCAGTGACTATAAGTTGAAGCCAGAAAAAAATTGTGCTCTGTAAATATACCTCATAAATTTTTTTTTTTTTCCTACTTGCCCTCGTAAAATACTTGATCTGCTTGTTTTGCAGGCAACTCTTAAAGACTACTAGATGTTTCTTTTCTTGGAAGAGACTATTCACATACAGTTACATAAATCTTCACTTCATGCACAGAATTTAAACTGAAAATGCAACTTAGAAGTAAATAAAGATGGCTTTTAATGTCTAAATTTCATATTATATAGTACCATTAAATAATCTATGATGGATGACATGGGCGTGTCATGATAGTTCATTGGGCATCATTATCAGGGTCTACATGTTCCAGCTACCTGCAGGCGATAAATGGTCAGTTTGAGAACTTGTTACTGGATATGAAAACTGAGGTGGGAGATTATGGGCAGAGAGTGTGGAGAGATTTCACTATTCTCCCTGCTTCACCTCTTTTGCAGATGAATAGGACTTGTTTGGTAAATCAAGTTCTGTATAAATGTCAGCTTCAATTAAAGACACATGCTGGCATACTTGGAAAAAATAGCAGGTTTTAAGTACTTTTTTTTAATGGCATTTGTTGTAAAGTTAGACGTGCATTTTCTTTCATGCTTGTGGTTGTCCTGTTCCTGATTTAGTAATACTTTTGTATGCATAATTGCACTAAGCAATTTTTTAAAGATTAAAATTTTTGTTTACAAAATGTCAGAATATGGGGTTTTCTTAAAGTATTTTATGTAATTAAGTTCTTAAGGAAAGAGGTATTGCTATGATGTAGAACAACACAGCTTCTCTGCTTTTGCCTCCAATTACTTTTTTAAAATACCAAATACTTTCGCTTTAGAATACATAAATAAAACAACCTTGTAACTATTACCAGATCATATTTTAAATTAAAATTTGTATAAAGCTCTTTTTTGTAGGGAAGTTCCTATTAGCTCTTTTCTGCAAACTAGGAACTGAGGTGCAGCTACAGTGGGGTCACTGTGGAAGCTGGAAGCAGAACTGAGAACTGAATCCACATCCCTGGGGTTTGATGCTAGTACTCAAGTGGCTGCCCTGACTATCTTTGCTTCTAGCTGTTCACTTTCCTCTTCCAAATCTGTTTTTATATGTTCATTTATATCAGCTTTCTAGCTGAAGTGCTGCATTTGGTTCTCTTGAGACTGTGGAGGAGGGTTTTCTGCAAAATGCAGCTTCAGTAGGATAAAGCTCAAGGCGAAGATTGCTTTTTGTTCTGTAACCTTGTCCTAAAATACATCTCTCTATAGAGTGGATGTGGAACCAGTGACAGACTGATTTGACCTCTTTCTCAGACTGGTTGTGAAGCCTCAAAGAGCCTCAACAGAGCTCCTGGTCCAAAGTCATGTCTTTGCTGATAGAGCTTGATCGAACAGTAATGAGGGGAAAACTGTCCTCTGCCTTAAGGATTAATATTGAGAGCTCTGTACAAATTGAGAAGATATATGTGCTACAGATCCACTAGTACACTTTTTAATTAAGTTAATTCTTGGGAATTACAGGTTGAAATAAAATCTGAATTTTAAAGTAGAACCAACCTGAGTTTTGAAGTCAATAAGGTAGACTTTTTTTTTCCTTTTTTTTTTTTTTTTTTTTTTCATTTTGAAAGAGCTAGTCCCTTTCAAAGAATTTTTTTCTAAGAACATGGTCTAGAGTGGAAGTTTTAAAGCATTTACACTTTCAAAGGCTGTAACTGGAAATAAGGTTGGATTTCATATGTTGGAGAAAACCAGAAAATCTCGCTTGCAATTTTTCCTTGTATATTAGAAAATGGTTTGGTTTAACTGCTTAAAAAAGTGTTGGGAGAATAAAACCATCTTCAGTGAGTCAGTTAATGGAATAGAAGGTGGAAGCTAATACCTTATTTTGAATTGTGACAATATATTTAATATTCATTATAGTGATGTATAAAAGCTTTATTGAAAAGCACTTTGCAAAACCATCAGTCTTGACAGATTTTCTCAAAGCTGCTGTGACTAGAGGATTTGTGTATTCTCTTAAGTATAAACATATCTGCATGATCACCAGCTTGATAAAATTAGGGTGTTTTTAACTTAAATGCATAAATGTTGGCAGGATTTAGACTTCAGTTAATGTTAGATAATGCTAAAATATAAATTCTGCCATGAATTTGGACTAGCCATATATTGTTTTAGAAATGCTAGAGTTGTTTACTAGTTTTTAGCTTTTCCTAATTTAAATGGAAATTATTTAAGAATACAGTATTAAAATATTTGTGTTGACCTGTGCTGTGCATCTCCTGTGAGCATGCTTGAATTATTGCTGTTCAGGTAAATTTTCTTAAATGAGAAAATCAGCCTCTGAAGCACTTTACAGAGACCAGTAGGAATTGTGCTGGATGTTTAGACTGGTTTTGGTTTGCTTTTAGAACCAGTACTTAACGTGCTAATGAAGTTCAGCCCCAGTTTAGAGACTGCAAAAACTGATTACTCTTCTCCGCAGGAAACTCTACAGGAACTGCAGTATTAATTGAATCTACCGAAAATATCAGAGAAGAAAAAAAAAGAATAACCTGATTTATAAGGAACATAAGAACTTACCTTGCTACAGTTTCTCTATCGTTTTTTTATTGCTGAACCTGAAATCTAGCTGCTTCTTACAGTAGCATGTTTATTGTGACTTTGTTGCATCTGTTTTGGAGGATTCCTCCTGAAGTCTTCATACCTTTTTGTAACCTGGTGATTTCATTGTTTTATCTCTTAACACAAAATGGACCAAAGAATCTATTTGGCACCTCAAGAGGTCTGTCTGGATTAATTTCTTCTGGCTGATCAAACATGAGTGCTTTTACTTCCTGTTGTTGGGATGTCAACACAGACCAGTGCTGCAGTCTAGGAAAATAAATATGTGAGTGAGTAGCACCTGTGCCAAAAGGTTTCTCTTGAGCTAGACTGGATCCTTGAATTTGAGTGCACCTGAAAGAAGTCACTGCAGTGACCCATTTCTAGCACCAGGCATTTACTTCTTTATACTTATTTCAGGCCTAGCTTTTCAAACAGGTGAGCATGAGAAAACACTTGTGGATGAAGGACATGTTGAGTGTGTTCTGCTCTGGTAGCTTCCATTAGTCATGCTCCTTGGACTGCTGAGGTAGTTCCAGATTAGTTCTATGCCTCCAAACAGTGTTAATAAAGGGGATGCAAGACAGAATTCCTTCTGATGTAAGAAAGCCAGTGCATTGACTTGACATGTACACGCTTGGTGAGCTCGTTGCTGGTGCACTGGCACTTTCTTTGATTTTGCCACAGTGTGTGTGGCACCTTCTGTAGCACTGAGGCTGAGCAGGAGCCTGGGCTTCCCCTAGGAGTTGTCTTTGAGAAAGGTTTGGAATAGGCTGTGGAAGAACATGTTGGATTGTGCTGATACCTTTTGTGGGCCAGCTTGTCCTGTCACAGCAGTAAGAATAGAGCAAGTGGTAGGTGCTAATTGTTGCTCAGCTGTAGTTATTGCTTGGCCTCTTATCCCTGGCAGTGCTTTGTGGCTCATAAATTGACCTAGAAGGGCTGTTACACAATTTGCAGTATATATATGTGTACTATACAGCTTCCCACTTCTTGTGTTCTGAGGTTCTGTAGAAAGCTGTGGAAGCTCTGGAGACTGCTCTGATGGATTGTGTAAAGGTAACCATAACTTCAGGTGTTCAGGGAAATCCAGTTTGGTTTCTTTCCATAATATGTTATAAACATTAAAATAATTAGAGAAGACAGGTGCATGTCAGTTGCTGGTACAAATTGGAGAAACACTGAAAAACTGGCTAAATAGTAAAAGAAGAGCATTGTGTCTTGGGGCTGGAATTGGTGACATTTTAAATCCTGAGGGTACCAGTGGTGCTCTTCAGTGTTAACTACGCTGATGGAACTCCTGCTACAGGGGTGTTTTTGTATAGGCTGGCACTGGGTGTAAAGATATGTTGATATAACTGAGGAAAAAAAATTAACGTCACTCTTTGCTTAGTAGCTACATACCTGATTAAATTTAAAAGCTGTGCTTGTGTTTTGGCTTCCTCTAGAGGTAGTCTAGCATCTTCCTCTTTCTTCATTTGCTCCTGAGCCTTGTATGTTGCCATTTCTCAGTTTTTTCCTTCAAATTCCCCGTCTTCTATTACCATGTCAACCAGCTGCTGGCACTGTTCCTCTAACCATGTTGCCCCTTTTTGTCTTCATTTTTGTGCCTCTTAGAAACATCATCAACAACTATTGGTTGTTTACATACTTTCTATTTAGGAAATAACTTCATCAGTTACAGATTTTTAAAAAATACAATACTGGCATTACAAGCATTTAATACTGTCTCACGTGAATTTTTTCTAACTTGTAATTGGATATTTGTTCAAGCCTTTCTCTGCAACTATTTGTTAGAATCTCTTTTTTTAAACTGTAGATGCTGGGAGTCGGGCTTTCAGAGAAAATATGTAATGAAAACAAACTATCAGATGCAACATGAATGTTGTAATTGGCAGGAATCTTGCACCCTGCAGCGTAGCTAGGCTGTGGAATTTTTTTCAGGCTTCTGGGACTGTGGTAGAGAGGACTGTTGTTACCATATCTGTTTAAGAGAGAGGAGCTTAGGTACTGCAAGTTTGGGACGTAGTGTCACAGGAATTTCAAGGCAGACCACAGTCTAAGTCTTTACCAGAAATCATCCATTCTGATGAACTATCTGGTGCTAAAGTAAGCATTAGTCTTTCTATAGACCATCTGCTTCTCCATGTTCCTCTAGCTGTTGCTTCTTCTGGAACTGCAGAAGCTTCCCGTGGTAATCCTGCTGCTGCCAAATATGTTCTTGTGCTGTTTTCTCTAATTATGACTTCTTTGCTGCCACCTCCTACTCATGGCACCTCCACTCCTCTAGTTTCTGTTTCTGTGAACTAAAAC